CATTTAGAATCATGTATATTAATATTATATAGTGGCTGACCCTTATATTTTATACCAGTTTCTTCAACCACTATCAGCTGATATTCATTGAAGGAAAAATGTGTGTATCATTTTAAAGGATGTGAAGTTATATCATTTTAAGTGAAAGAAAGAGATAGATAAATGAGAAGAGATAGTGGATAAAAAAATATAAAGGTGTGGGTCTCACTTCTTTGTGAGAGTGAAATAACATAATTTGTGTCATTTAAAAGGACAAACATTTTTTCCTTCATTGAATAAGTAAAAAATATATATGAAGTATGAAATATGCAAAGAATCAATTCAATCCAAAAGTTTAAACTGTTGGATGAGGACTGTTATGGACCTACACAAGAGACCCACACTGTAAAAGGCTCAAGAAGAGGCAATTGAAAGAGGAAACTAAGACAAATAATGGAAAACATCAATCAAAGATGTCAATCCTAATATGACGGTAATGAACTTAGACATGGGCCAGCATAAGAGCCACTAAAGGTCCAGAATCCCAATACCTATAGGAAAATCCTATAAATTAGAGGTAAGGCCTACAAGTATGAACATCTCTCTATTATTGTTATGCTGTCATTGTGTGCTCATGCGACCCCTTTGGCTAAGGCTGATATTTCTATTGCATAGTAATCTGTCACACTCAAAGGTTTCTAACCCATAGATACATGAGAGAGTCTCTAGATCCAAAATCAACATATTAGTCTCTGACTAGACATCTTTGTCCCTTGACAGAACAAGTGTCTTTTTAATGGTTAATATTATTCTCTAACATGCCCCTTACACGAGTGTTTACTAAGCTTGAATGATGGAAAATGTACAGGTCCACCTACCTGTACTAAGAAAATCCACAAGACTTAATTAATTAATAATTAAATGGGGGCGGTGAGGATCGAACTCGTGACACCGAGGCTCTGATAAATCGTCAATTTAACCCAAAAGCATAAGTTGTTGGGTGAAAGCCTTTTTAATTAATAGTTTATATTATTCTCTAACACACCCCCTCACGCGAGAGCCTTTTTGACTTGCGTTGATATCACACAGGCCCAATTTTTGGTTTACTTGTGTTTTATTTAATTTCACTAGAAAGTGAGGGGTGATGAGTATCGAACTCGGGACCTCGTGGTCACTTGAAGCTCTGATACCATGTAAATAATAAATTCAACCCAAAAACTTAAACTATTAGATAAAAACGTTTTTAATGATTTATAATATTTTTAACAAAATATATCTATATATTAGTTAACATGTCACACAATGATAATTGTTAGAAAGAATATATCTTTTATATATCTGTAATTATTTATTTCCTTTATTTCATTAAGATTTGTATTAGGTCTGGGCTTAGCCCATTAATATGTCTATATATTGTACATTCTACCTCAATTCAATATACACAGTTTTATTTCAATGTTTATCTCTCTACTTGTTATTTAACATGGTATCAGAGCCTTGTGTCCCGGGTTCAAACCTCGTCGCCCTCCACTTTCTCTTGTGGAAATTCTTAGCACAGATAGGCTGGGCATGTTGCATCATCCATTCTTCAAGCCCAATGGGCTCTTGTGTAAGGGGGCGTGTTGAGATATATAGTCCCACATTGATTGTATGAGCAACTAATGTGGAGTTTATAAGGCCTTGAGCACTCCTACCCTTTGAGCTAGCTTTTGGGGTGGGGTATCCCAAGGTTCTTTAAGGGTCAATATGAGTGTGAAATTAGCTTTTCGGTCCCACCTTAAAAATAGTGACCTTCTCATTGCTCTTCGTAAGGGTACTCATGATACTCGCCCTCCAGCCAGGTATACAGTCAATATTAGTTACCATCGTCTTTCTCCATCATATTTTGCATGTCTTTCCTCTTTGTCCTTTGTATCTATTCCTAAGACTGCATGTGATGCACTTTCACATTCGGGATGGAGACAAGCTATGATTGATGAAATGAGTGCTCTTCATCATAATGGAACATGGGATCTGGTTCCTCTTCCATCTGAAAAATCTATGGTTGGTTGCAGATGGATTTATGCTGTTAAGGTTGGACCTGATGGTCAACTGGATCGTCTTAAAGCTCGCTTGGTGGCGAAGGGTTTCACTCAAGTGTTTCGATTGGATTTTATTGATACTTTTTCTCCTGTGGCGAAAATGTCTACTGTTCGCCTCTTTATTGCCATGGCTGTTATTCGCTATTGGCCTCTCTACCAACTTGATATCAAGAATGCTTTTCTCCATGGTGATCTTGAGGAGAAAATTTATATGGAGCAACCTCCTGGATTTGTTGCTCAGGGGGAGTCAGGTATGGTTTTTCGTCTTCGTAAGTCTCTATATGGTCTCAAGCAATCTCCAAGAGCTTGGTTTGGTAAATTTAGCAGTGCTGTTCAACAATTTGGCATGACTCGGAGTGAAGCTGATCATTCTCTCTTTTATCGTCATTCAGCTTCTGGATCTATTTACCTGGTAGTATATGTGGATGATATTGTCATTACAGGTAGTGATAGGTATGGGATCACTCAGTTGAAACAACATTTATGTCACCATTTTCAGACTAAGGATCTTGGGAAACTTCGATATTTCTTGGGAATCGAGGTGGCCCAATCTAAAGATGGCGTTGTGATATCTCAGAGGAAATATGCTCTGGATATTCTTGAAGAAACTGCTTTGTTAAATTCTAAGTTTGTTGATACTCCTATGGATTCAAGTATCAAGCTTCTACCAAATCAGGAGGAGCCCTTTTTAGATCCTGAGCAGTATAGAAGATTGGTTGGAAAATTGAACTATCTCACAGTCACTCGGCCTGTTATTTCATTTGCAGTTAGTGTTGTCAGTCAATTTCTTAATTCTCCATGTTAAGAACATTGGAATGCAGTCATTCGTATTCTTAAGTATATCAAGGCATCTCCAGGAAAAGGCCCTGAATATGAAGATAAAGGTCATGATAAAGTTGTTGGGTACTGTGATGCTGATTGGGCTGGTTGTCCAGCTGATAGGAGATCTACTTCTGGGTATTGTGTCTTTGTTGGAGGAACTTGATTTCTTGAAAAAGTAAGAAACAAAATGTAGTTGTCAGATCAAGTGCTGAAGCAGAATACCGCTCCATGGCAACTACTACTTGCGAGCTCATCTGGCTTAAACAGCTTCTCAAAGAGCTTAAGTTTGGAGACACTGGACAGGCAACTCTCATTTGTGATAATCAAGCAGCTCTGCACATTTCATCAAATCCAGTGTTTCATGAAAAAACCAAGCATATAAAAATAGATTGTCACTTTGTTCGAGAAAAGGTTCTTGCTGGTAACATTAAAACTAGTTTTGTACTATCAAATGAGCAATTAGCAGATATATTTACAAAATCTTTGAGGAGTCCTCGAATAGAGTTTATATGTAACAAGTTTGGTGCATATGATCTATATGCTCCAGCTTGAGGGGGAGTGTTAGAAAGAATATATCTTTTGTATATATGTAATTATTTATTTCCTTTATTTCATTAAGATTTGTATTAGTTTTGGGCTTAACTCATTAGTATGTCTATATATTGTACATTCTACCTCAATTCAATATACACAGTTTTATTTCAATGTTCGTCTCTCTACTTGTTATTTAACAATAATATAATAATATAAGATGGGCATGTGCGTGAGTATAGGTACTCAAAATGTGGACAAAAGATTACATTATGGGGGCGCAGTTGCAGTTTGGCAAAGGATCAATTTCAGAATGAAATGTAATAGTCGGCCGCATATGGTATTACGAATCAGAAGGCAAATTCTATTTTAACTAGGTTTATTCGAGTACTTGTCACTCAGGTATCCAGTGATCATTTGTGGTTATTCACCTAAAAGTAAAATAATTTTTTATTTGTGTAAATATAACAACCCACAAAGTCATTAGAATTGATCTAATAACGAAATATTTGTGTAGTTTGTATTGAATTATGTGTTTATTTCTCACTTATATAAAATGAGTAAAATAGAGATTTTTTTTATTGTGCTCCAGGATCACAATATTATTTGATGGTCCTTTACCAAAAAAAAAAAATTTCTTTTCATCTATACCCCTTTCTTCCTTCTAAGTTCCCTTCCAATCTTTTTTTTCCCCTATTTTTGGCAAAGGAACATAAGCTCCCGGCCCATAATAAACGGGCTCGTAAAATAGACATCATTATTCTATAAATTACGGTTCAAATATTTTATTTTCTTGTTTTTCATACCTTCGTTGGTTAACTTGCGTCAATTTACATTCGCGCCCCTCCTTGTCTATGCAATATGCTCTTTTGTCCTATTAAACATTAATATTAAAAAAATAGAGATGAGTGGGTTATTCGGTTATTCCTAATCCATATCCAAGTCTTTTTTTAATCCATATAAAATGAAAAGAAAAACCTATAAACCAACTTTCTACTTTATAACTCGATTTTGAAAATGAAGTGTTATACATGATATATGCACGACTCTGTTTTTCAAAAAGTTCCAATAGAATTAGGAGAATATAATTTTTCATATTATAATATAAAATTGTCTCATAGACATATAAAAAAATGAAAAAGACTCATATAAAAAAAGAGCAAGAAAAAAATAAATAAATAGATCTCACCCATTTTTTCGTATACACACAAACAATTTTATCTAATTCAAAAAATGAGAAATTATATTCCCTAAAATCAATCATAACCTGAAACAACAATAATTCTTCGTAAAATGATGAGTTTGTTCAGTTGCATGTAAATATCAAATTAAAAAGCTAAGCCAAAAAAAAAAAAAATGTAGAAGAAACGGCGAACCATTTTAATTAAAGGAGAACCAATAGCCTCACACATCTATTTTTTTTTCTTCCCTTACAGTTTACAAGCAAAGACATGATTGTTCAAGAAGGATATATTCTAATCAATTTAACGTAATTAAAAAGAAAGAAAGAAATCACTATGATTAAGGATATGATACACGGGCAAGTGTCTATATACGAAGCATATACACTAGAAAAAAGTATCCATTTCAACCATATGAGTTATTTGAAATCTCCATTTCAAGCATCTGAGCTATGCTTCGCATGGTTGGTCTAGATTGAGGATTTGTTTGCAAACATGAAAGTGCTAGATTCGCAATCAATGACAATTGCTTCAAAATATTGTTCTTTGCAGGAGGTGAGAGGCGCGGGTCTAAAATCTCTTTGAAGTTTATCTTCTCATCATTAGAAGTTTGTATATAGGAAACAAGATCACCAGGGTGCTTTCCCGTAAGAACCTCAAATGCCAAAACACCAAAACTGAACACATCACATTTTTCAGTCACTGCCATTGTGTAAGCAAGCTCTGTAGCACCCAACAGACAGTGAAAATTAGCCAATTGCAAACAAACAAGAAGAAAATTGCATTTGTTATGATCACAATCAAGTTCTCAAAATTAACTTTTACTTTGATGTTATCAAGAATACTATTTTCTCTAATCTTTAGATTGAATCTAATTATATTTAATTTTTGTAAAGTATTAGGTGATAATTTTTTTAATACTTTATATTCTCTTCTAACACACCCTCTCACGCAAGAGCCCCTTGGGCTTGACGTGAATATGGCACAAGCCCATTTTTGGTCTACCTTGTGCTGTACAAGCTAATTTTTTGGTCTGTGTTGTGTTTTTCTTAATTCTACCTGAAAGCAGGGGCAGTGAGAATCGAACTCGTGACCTAGTGGTTACTAAAGCTCTGATACTGATACCATGTAAAGAACCATCTCAATCTAAAATCTTAAGACATTAAGTGATAATCTTTTTTAATACTTTATATTATTCTCTATCATTTTTACCAACATGGTGAAAAATGAATTTCAAACTTTTAAGAGTCAGAGAAGCTCACCTGGAGCAGCATAGCCATATGTGCCAGCAAATGATGTCCAAATAGGCGAATCATGCTTCAGAAACCTTGCAGTGCCAAAATCTGAGACATGAGCTTCAAGATTGGAGGACAACAAAACATTCTTGCTTGATATGTCTCTATGAATTAAAGGTGGTGCACAATCATGATGCATATAGGACAAAGCGCTTGCTACACCTTTGATAATATCAACCCTGTGAGGCCAATCTAGTTCTAATGCTTCCTTTTCATTTCCTAGCATATAAGATAAGTTCCCTCTATCCATATACTCATAAATTAAAAATGTGTGCAACCCTTCAGAGCAAAATCCGTAAAGCTTCACAATGTTTCTGTGGCGTGTTTCTGACATGGCTTCTATCTCACTCTCAAAGGCTTTTATGCTCTCAATGTCTAAGCTGTCTTCATCACATTTCAACTTTTTTACAGCAAATATTTGACCCCCTCGCATCACTGCTTTGTAAACTTTTCCCAGTGCTCCCTCCCCAATGCAATACTGGTCATCAAAGTTCTCGGTTGCTTCCATTATGTCTCCATACACCACTCTACCATTGAAGTACCAAACTGAAAATGGGTTTGGTCTCTTGAATGAAGGTTTTTGTCTTGAAGCTATTGACTTTCTCTTGTTGAAAAAGAAAAGAATCCCAACTAACACCAATGAAAGAAAAAGGGCACCTCCCAAAGAAGCAACAAGGGGGATCACAACCTTGTTTTTGTTACTTTTTCCATCAGGTTCAGTAAGAGAGGCATTACAAGGTTGCAAACCTTGGATATTCCCGCATAAATCTCTGTTGTTGCTCAAATCCAGAGGTTGAGAAGAGTTGAAAATGCCACCTTTAGGAACAGGGCCCTCCAATTGATTGTAGGAGAGGTTGATGGCTGACAAGCTCAACATTTCACTAAGGGAATCAGGTATGGTACCTGAAAGATTGTTGTGAGAGATATTCAAGCTTATCAAATTTGAAAGCTTACCAAGATTAGCAGGAATTCCTCCTGAGAGTGAATTGTAACTCAAGTCCAAAAAATCTTGTAAGGCTGCAAGATTTCCAATTTGGAAGGGAATTGTGCCATTCAAGCCATTGTTGCTCAAATTTAAACTCTGCAAGTTTGAGCAGTCCCCTATTTGATTTGGTATTGGCCCCAATAACATGTTCATTGACAAGTCTAAATTCCTCAAATTAGAAAGGTTTCCAATTTCTGATGGCACCTCACCAGAAAGTTTGTTGCCACTCAAATTCAAATCATAAAGGATGGAGGAATTTCCTATCTGTGGAGGAATGTCTCCTGATATTTGGTTGGAGGAAAGGTCAAGCTCTTGTAGTTGGTCCAACTGAAAAATCTCCCCTGGAATGTTTCCACTCACTGCATTCCCAGCCATTCTGAGTAATTGCAAGTTATTGCAGGCACCCCAATTTGCTGAGAGCTCACCTTGGACCCTGTTATAGCTGAAGTCCATGTAAGTGAGGTTAGGATATACTCCAAAATCCTGATCTGCATAACCTGTGAGCTGGTTGTATTCAAGTCGAACTCTATATAAGGCTGGGCAGTTTCTAAGGCTTATTGGAATTGGACCAGTGAAACTATTGAAGGCTGCACTGAAATTGACAAGAGTGCCACTTTTGCACACTTGTGGTGGCAATTCACCACTAAAGTTGTTCTCAGCAAGATGCAGCGTAATCAAGGAAGACAGGTTTCCAAATTCTTGTGGCACCGTACCAGTCAAGTTGTTGGTGAATAAGCGAAGATCAGTTAGATTGGTTAACATACCAATACCTGGGGGTATTGTGCCTGTGAGTTGGTTTTGAGGCATTCTAAGAATGCTTAATTGTGTACAGTTTCCAAGAGATGGAGGAATAGGCCCATAAAAGTTGTTCCCATCAATAGCTAGCACTGTCAAGTTTCTTATGTTCCCTATTTCATTTGGAATTCTACCACCTAAGAGGGTGTCTTGGAATAGGAGATTCCTGATACTAATGAGACCAGTTTTTGGCTTATCAGTTCCATCAGGAAATAAGCTAGGGTCTAATATTCCTGTTATATCATTTCTTGAACAATCAAGCTCAGAAACTTGAGTCAGATTGGAAATAGAAAGAGGTAAAGTACCATTGAGATAATTAGTGGAAAGATCAAGAAATTGGAGTTTTGAGAGCACACCAATGTTTTCTGGTATAGTGCCAGTGAGATTGTTTACTTTGAGATCAAGACGGAGAAGGTTTGGGAAAACAGAAAAGTTCAAGTTTTGAAGGGTACCTTCAAGTCCAGTGTATGCCAAGTTTATTATAATCACACTGCCTTGAGAATCACAAGTAATACCTCTCCATGAACATGGGGTTTGAGTTGCACTTGAGTTGTTCTGTGTTGGAGACACCCATGAATTCAAAATTGGTTGGTTAGGGAGACTTTGTTTCCACTTGAGAAGTGCCTCAGCTTGTGTTAGCCCTGAAGTGCCTTGAAATAGACCCAACAAAACCACCAAAGTAGTTGCAACTCCAAGGTAGCCATAAAATCCGTGGTTGTTCATGGTTCAGAAACTGACTTCTACACCTGTTTTTTTTTTTTTTGTATGTTTAATGAAGAGTTGTAAGCATGTATATTACTATTTGCTATTCATTTAAATTGGAATTTGATTCCTATCTTTCCACCATTTGACCATCTCTTTAGTTTTAGCCTATCGATTTTCTCAAAAGCAGATTTGGATAGTTGACTCTATGCATTTGAAGAGAGGATTGCATTTACATATTTAATATGAGCAAGGTCTTATTTGAAATGTGAACTATTATTACACTGCATTGAATTAAATAAGTCGTATTTTATTAGTTAGTTGTTGCATACAGAATGATGAGTTAGAAAAATAAAATAAAAGTATGCGATTATGCCACTTGCAAAGATTTCGACCATGCTTGCCGTCCTGGACCTTCCATGTACTTTATTTGTTTAACTAAACTAATAGTGGTTGAGGATTGTTTATTTAGTTATTTCTACATATTTTTTTGGAGACAAGTTTACACCAAATAATAAATAGGAAAAAACTATTCTCATGTTACATGAGATAAGTTTTCTTCCTACACATCTTTCGATAACCGTGCAATATTTTATTTTTATTTTTTAGGTGATGAATTTCACCACTATGTGTTCATAACATAAAATTTTTTCTCTCATATATCATGAGACTAGATAAGCCAATAATAAATATTGCTAGATAACTTCTGCTGAATTTTGTTTTAAATTTTGGATTGACGTTGATGTCGACATTAGTTTTTTTGGAAACAAGTTGTGGTTCAGCGTCGATAAATCCAAATAAAGAAAAAAAAAAAAAAAGAGAGGAAAGATTAAGAAGGAAAATAAATAAATAATTTTAGATGAAGTAAAAGAGAGAGAGAGCTAAATATGAATCTATATTTTTTTATAAAATTACTTCTTTACTTTATCTTGAGAATAAATTTGAAAGTTTGATAAGATTTCAGTAATTGTGAAAAATCTACAATACAGCGGATGTATCTTGGGTATATCTTTTTTCAAACTGAGATTTTTTTCTTCCAATTTAATTTTTATTTTTTAAAATATTTTCCATCAAATTCATTCACATTTCCTCTTTTAGCATCGATACTTGGGACGTCGGCGCCAGCGGTACCAAAATATTATTCGCAGCCGGGTTGATGGCCGCGACTCTAGAGATATTGGTGGGATTTTTTTTTGGTATAATGCACTGGCGGACCCAGGCATATTGCGGATATAAAATTTTGGATTTTAATTTTTTTCTTCTTTTTTTGTTGAAGTCTTGTAGGTTGTTATTTATTTCTTGATTCAATATTTATATTATGCGTAAATATTTTTTAAGTTTCTAATAAAAAATATGGTCTCTTTAGTCCATTATCAAAAATTAGTCTCGAGGTCTTTAAGAAATTCGAAGTGGATCAATTTAGTTAAAATCGTGGTCCCTCATAAATTTAAAAAAGACCTACATTAGTCCCTAAAAAAGACTAAAATGGATCCACTTTTTCATAGGGACCAGGTGACTTTTTTTTTATAATGAACTAAAGTGGGGACCAAATTTTTTGTTAGGGACCAAAAATGATATTTATTCTTATATTAGTTAGCAACATAGCAACGGACAGAGATGATTAAAATAACGTAGCAACACAAATTGATTAGAGAGAAAACTTATTCTTCCTCCCCTGTCACGTACTCATTCTCATGCTCTCTTCATCCTTTGTTTTCTTTCTCACTTTTATAAAAAGAGAGAATTGATTGCAGGTCTGACATTCTCAAATAAGTTAATATCTAGTGACGAGATCTTCACTGTAATTTTGCTTGCCTTCTGTACAGGTAGTGTTGACTTTTTTAATCACCGCTATAAAATAGAATGATGATGTATGGATGTACTGGAGTATATTCTCGTATTTGTTTTGGAGGATTGGTAAGATTTAAGAGGGAAAATGATTGGTCAAACTATTGCATGTAGCTTGTTATAAAAGCAACTAGATTATGAGCAGGTTCAAGCTTTAATTTAAATTTTTCTTACAAAAAAAAATTCGGGGGCGCTGCCCCTGAACCCCCGCCACTAAATGTGCGGACATAAAGAAATTTTTTTGGATCCACCACTGGTATAATGCGTGTCGAATTCGATATTTTCTTCTTCTTTTTTAATAAATTTTTTTGTCCTATTTAAATTAGGGTAATATTTTTCTCATATTATATGAGATAGTATTATTTTATGTAAAGACATAATTAGATAGATCCCACAATTAAAAAAAATACTACATTGAATTTTGATAAAAGTATAACATGAGATAAGTTTTCTCATATAACATTAGAAAAATATTTTCCTTTAAACTAACATCTTCACATTTATTTTCCTTTCAATTCCAATTTTTCACCCTTCTACAAGGGATACAAATACTACATGAGAACCCAAAATTTGTTCGTAATGGAGATGGTTGTGCTCTGATTTGAAGTGACAATAGAAAATTTATAAAATCACAAACATAAAATAAAAATAACTAATATGTGTTATTATTTTCATATTTTTTAAAAAATATGAAAATCAAAATACTAAAATAATTTATTTTATATACAAACAGCTCTAGGAACATTTAAAGCATAGTAGATGCTTTTATTTTATAATTAAATATTAAATGTTTTCTATTTATAAATTTAGCATGAACTTATATATATATTTATATATATATATATATATATATGGTAAAATTATTTCTACAGCCACTTGACGTACAACAATGATATGTGTATGGTTATGATTCTCCACATTTAATACTTTCTCGTATATATATGGTTATGATTCTCCACATTTAATACTTTCTCGTATATATATGGTTATGATTCTCCACTTTTCGTATATATATATATATATATATATATATATATATATATATATATATATATATACACGTTTATATTTCTACAGCTGATGTACGTGTAGAAGTGACAAATTTTTAATATATAGGTTAAAGCATTTAATGTGAGAAATCATAACCATACAAAAGGTGAAAACATTAAATGTGGAAAATCATAATCATACATCTGTCATTACTGCACGTACAACAACTTTAGATCAGTGTTTAAAAACTTGACCCCAGGTATTGACTCGACCGAGGTCAACCAGGGGTCGTGGGCTCACTTCGCTGACCTGGTTTTATGCATTAAAAAAATATAAATATATATCATATACGAAAAATTCAAAAAAATCGAACTACCAATCATCAAAGATTCAAAAATATACTTAACATAATTCTACCAATTACATCCACAAGTCAATATTATATAAATTTAATCAAAGTATCAAACTATCAAAGTATAAAACACACATTTCAATGGAGTTGACGAAAAGTTATATCATCAAACTCGAATCTCTTTGTCCTTCTCACGTACCTACAACAGCATACGAAAGGAGATCCCTTACCCAAGAAAAAATGGCGGAGGAGAGGCAGCGACGTGGCGAATCAACGGTGGGGGGAAAGAAGAACTAGCACGACGGAGGAGAGGGAGAGAGAATATCGAAGAGGATAAGAGGAACAACCACGGTGACAGAGAAGATGACCGGATTAGGGAGACTAGGTCTAGGTCTACGAGAGAAGATCGGAAGAGAAGACGAAGAAGAATAATTTAGATTTCAGATCTAGGCAGCAGCGAGTTTTTGTTTTGTTTTTTGTTTTACACACCAAATTATGTCTTTTCGTATGTAAATTTTTAAAAAAATGCAATAAGTCATAGGTTCAACTGGGGGATTTCAGGAGTCAGAGGGGTCAACGTGCATGCAGAGTCTAACTACTCACCCCAATCCTCAGAGAGAAGGGGTCAGTGACCGATGAGGTCGACCCCGAGCTGGGGCAAAATTTTAAAACACTGCTTTAGATATGATTTTATCATATATATATATATATATATATATATATATATATATATATATATTATTTAGTATTTTTAAGGATGTAACTTTGTTTAATTTTAAGTGAAACGATTATATTTTGGGAGATTTTTTATCTTCTTTCTCCCTTACAATACTCTCTCTTTCTCTTCTCCTAATTTTGTAGAGTAGAGAATATAAAAAATTATTAAATATGCTTAAAATGTGACTATTTCATTTAAAATGATAAAAAGTTATGTTCTTTAACCATTGTAAAATTTAGAAGTCTTACTTCTTATGTTAACTATTAATTTTTGTCCATCTAACTGTTAAATGAATATAAATTAATAGCTAGGATTTGGATTAAGATTTATATGTCTTATTTTGAAGTCAAAAGATCTCTCTCTTATATATATATATGCATGTATGTGTGAAAATGTAAATAGTAATGAAGTGCAGAAGACTCATAAACTTATTGCCCTTAAAATTTTGATTAAGATGAGATGTCTATTCACTTATTAAGGAGCCCATTAATGTAGATATCTTTTTCAAAAGGTTTTGGCCCATACCAGAATATAAATGTTCAATATAAAAGGAAAGCAAAAAATAAAATAAAATTAAAGCATTTAATATTTCAAAAACTTCACATTCCCATAAAAAATGTTTTTTTTTTGCAAATAACGATAAGAAATTAAAAATATTATTTTTATTCGTTGACAATTTCTCCGCAAAATATTAGCAAAACCATTAAATAAAAAGCAGCAAAAAGTGTGAAAAGAAAATGGAGTGGAAGTTCTTATTCATTTTGATTGTTAGTATTTCCCGTATTAATTCTTTTGCTGGTCGTCTTGAGCCTTAAAAAGTTACAGCGTTATTAATTTGTCTGTCACATATTATACCCAGCCTTACAACTAACTCAACATAAATATTCACTTGCTTTTAACACGTGGCAAGCCCAAATGTCCCTCTAAGGCGCTTATTAGAGCCGGTCAATGGGTTCGGTTCGGCGAGCCAATCCGTCCCACTAGTTAAACGGAGTAGGACGGATTGAGTTTTTCAATCCATCTTAAAAGCGGAGCGGACTCATTTTTTGACGGGTTGATGGCAGGCATAACGAACTGAGACAGGTCAATGTAAAATAGGCTCGGATTGACGGG